CGCTGGATAGTTTTTCTGCAGATATGGTGATTAGACGGATGCCAAATCTTTTTTTGAATTTATCAAACCAATCACTTACTTTAAAATCGTCTTTGCTCTTAATTTTTTTAAAAAACTCTGTAACCTTGACCCAAAAAATGTTACCAATAATAGGAGTGTGTTTAGTGCGTTCTTGTAAAAACCACATATACAGGGCAGTTTCCATTTTTGGATATTCGTCAATTTTTAACGTTTTTCGTTTGCGGGTCCAGATTCTGTTTGACCTAATGGCATACACTGTAGAGTGCCCAACATCATAATGTTGTACACTCTTGTAGATGTTTTCGCCGCTATCTACATAATTTCTTTAAAATCTCCATCTTCTCTTTTAATGTTAAAATTTTATGTTTTCCTTTATTGGACATTCTTTAAAACTTTGTAATTTACAATACACAAAAGAAAACTAAGAAACGTGGCAATGTATCTTCGCGGAGAGGTTAAGAATGCATCGACAATGGTTCAACAGTCACCAATAGATTCATATGTAAGAAAACAAAATACGCGAGCCTCACTGTCATATTACTGGGCGGGCTGTATTATCGAAGGGTCGAATTAGCGAGAGTTTACTATAATTAAATTGTTAAAGGTGTATTATTAATGATTATTGATGAAAGCGCTTTCGATGTAAATATACTACGACAAAATGACTGAGGACTTCAATTCGTTTAATCAATATAAAGTAACAGAAGTATTCGAACGATAGAATAATCAACAGGCCACTACACGTATAAAAATGATACAAATTGTATCATATGAGACTAAAGAAACTTGTATACAAGAAACTTATATATCAACAGATACGCAATGAATATACATAAACTAGTGAAAGAAACATGAAACAATAAATACACACATTATGAAAAAAAACTATTACAATAATCTCAATGTGGAAATCTATCGTTCGTACGATTTTATTACAAGGTCCAGGTGATTGTCGAAACAATTATGTATACGTTTGAAAACGATTGAGTTGTACGCGTAAGCTCTCTTACTCCGAAATTGTTAATAAATTAGTGAGAATTAAAACCTAAATATTCGTAAACGTGCGGTGTAAACGAGACACATACACGTCATCGATGTCGTCATAGCTAATGATGTTCTAGGAAATAAAATTAGAGGGTAACGCGTTAAATTTCGAATATGTCTATCGTAGGAACTCGGACATAAATCTCTGTTGAATCTCTGCTTTCATACGTAAGCGTGAAGATCTGCCGAACTATAAAAATCAACGTTACAGTGTATAATCATTTCACGGACATTCACATTATATCGTTTTACATTCTTGCATCGTTCGCAAAATCGGGCAAAATTTACGGATAATTAAACGATAACAAATAAAAAAAACCTGAAACCCTAACTCAACTTGTATTAAAAAATATATACCTCCAAATTCATGATATTCCAAAGTCGGACTCATAAATTTTGATACGAGAAGCTACAAACTTGTCGATTTTAATTAAGAACGATTAATCACATACATTTGAATATAGTAAATAATATAGATACCTAAAAGTAGTTACTAACTAAGAATACAAACAACCAAATTATAGTCATCCTCCTACATTACTTTTCTAATAAAATTACCGATTACAAATCATATTCTCGATCAAAGTACTTTCGAATAATATTTTTCGAGCAAAACACTTTACAAAGTACCAACCTGACAAAACATACATCAAGAATGATAGGATTTTCTACTAGTCATATCGAAACAGACATTACGGTATATACTTTTCGTAAACGAAAATTCATATTAATTTTCGTAACGAAGACTCGATAAATCCTAATGAATTACAATTTTAAAATGTGAAAATAGGTTACCATCACCTTATTTGCTGTTTCTTTTTAAATAACACAATGCGAAACATTTAAGTAACTAACCGTCTACATAGAATAGAAATATTATATTTTTCTCTGAATTTAATAGTCGTGGTGCACACGGAAGACAATCTGAAACTCGTGATCCCTATTTTAAACGTATTAGAGCGTGCTTCCTGATGTAATTTCAATCGGTGAGAAAAAGGTCCGGAAATTCTGCCCGAGATTCGAACGACGTTCCATATATCTACAAACGGTACTCAATACAAGAGGCACAGAGGTATAATTTTGTCAGTGTGTATTTTTGATACTATATCTCGGTGATCTTCGTTGCGTTGGCGTCTAATGTGGTACACGGTCGTGACGCGGGTTTTCAGTTTTTCGGTGTTCGCCAACACATCAGAACGACATCAAACGGTACCTCGCGCGTGACAAATTATACCAAAAGAAAGAAAGAAACACGATTCTTTCGGCCGACAACGGCAGCGACGACGGCCAAGCGTTCTCACGTGAATGTAACTCTCGAAGCGCAATCGTGATTATTCTCTGTACATAAACCAAGCAGAAACTTTTTATGTATGACCTCGTCGTGCTCGTGTCGCACCGACGTGTAGACCGGGTCGATGTGAGGGTCTACGAATATTCTAAAATAAATATCGTAACGACTGAACAAGATCTAACTTTGTTGATCCCCTGCAACTCTCTCCTTTCAGACTTTTGCGCTGCGCGAATTCTTTTAATAATTTTTTGACGAGGAAACATTTTCTCAACACTACGACCACCGTTGACGCCACGGTGGCGTCGTGTGAATGTCAACTGAGACTTTTCAGATATTCAAAATTGTTGAATTTTTTACATACATAGCAAAAACCATTCTTTGTTCATTCTTGACCATGACAGCTGGCCATTGGTGAAAGTTACTTGCAAAAATGCACACTCTTCACGATTATCATCCCGAACTCGGGTCCGTACTGGGCCAATAATCTTAGAGGGAAAAATGCTTTAGACCCTGGTAAATTCGTTTCTTGCCCGAAGCCCGAGTATCGGCAACATCCCCCTTCCCAGTGGTAGAGATAATGCCTGGACAATAATCGTGTACAATAAACCAGACGATAATCGGGAGTAGTCTGTAGCAGGTCGTTTTAGTGTTAACGCTGTTTGTGAGAATTAAAAATGTTTTTCCAAGAAGGGTTTACACCTACTTATGAATTTCATGATATATTGTATTAGATTTCTCATATTCTCTTTCAGATCTAATGAGTGTTTCACAAATTTTAGATGATCATACTAATCGTTGTCACATATTATCACTAGACTGCGGATGTTTATGCACTTATAGCAAATTTTAACGTGCAAAAAGCAGAAACTTAAAGATTTTAAGAAAACTAAACATATGTATATTGTTGTATGGGCCCGGCATAATCTCTAATAATGAAAGGACAAAGTTTATAAAAAGAAGAATTATTTTGACTTATCATTGACACACCCTTCCCCTTCCAAGGTCGTACCACGACTCTACATTGTCTATGTTGGGTGTCGTTTCCAGAACGACGCACAGTGGGACAGAACGACCAGACGACGAACAAAAATCGATTTTCGTTACATTTAAAATTTGAAAAATGTTGATATTTTTCTGATACAGGACAAATTGTATTTTAATGTGGTGAACTATATTTTTTAGTATTTGCTTTCGTTTCCTTGCGATCGGTGCTCAAAGTCAACAGAAAGCTGCAAACACTAAATGCGTACCGAAAGCTTATATATTTCCCTTTTACGATTCTGAAAACTTTTGCCCTGAGAGATGCAATTTTAATTAGGTACAAAGTTTATTGCATAGATATAGATTCTATTAAGTCAAAAAATTCGAGTAAATTGTTAACAACTTCTTAAATAATAACTGTTAAATCGAAAGGGATATTTGTGAACCAAAACTTCTACTTTGTACAATGTTGTAAAAAGTTGCAATCATTTGCAATGAGTACAGTTGATACCACATGAAAGAATGAACTTTTCTCTTCTAGAAATGAAAAGAATTGGGTGCACCTTTGTGCCCCTTTCCAAGAAAATGGCAGCTTAAGTAAACTCTACCATACCTATCTATTAGAGTTGATATCGATAAGTCAGTATCAACCAGATATATTATGTCACGGAGACTTAAGAATGTTTTTTTTTAGTATATTTTATGACTTTCCACTGCAAAAGAGCACGAAGTCTAACGATATACAATTTCAGCTCGAGAATTTTGGACATTCAGATTTATGATACGATCACCTAGAGTCATTAGTTGAATTTTTATTTGAAGCTAACGAGGGATCAGGGCTCTAAAAACATCAATCAAGAAATTTAAAAAAATGAAGGAATCAGGAATAATCCGGAAAAGAAACAAAAGAGGCACGAAAAAAGCTAAGCATTATAAGAGAATTCAGAAATCAACTTGGATTAATTATTGACACACCTAAACAAGGATTTGGAAGCAGTAACAATGGTAACACTGCGCGCAGATTTTTCGCGTATCCAGATATAACATTGGCAATTACTGGAATAGATATGGAAATTTTACAAAAATTTAAGACAATATTAAATATTCTTTCTTGTGGTCTTTCTGTGAATACTGAAGAATTCGGTATATGTATATGCAGAAAAAACAGAAAAATTATGTGGCGGCACTACCTCCCTACATTCGCTACTAGAGGTCTACCGAGTTGACACCTATCCCACAACTACCAGAATCCTTCCTCGTTTGTATGTATACATACAGGGTGTTCGACTACTAGTGGGAAAGAATTTAAGGGGTGATTCTTTGAGGCAAAATAAGACGAAAATCAAGAATAACAAAATTGCGACAAATGGTTCGTTTGTTAGTTATAAGCGTTTTACCGCCCTCTCTTGAACGGTCGCGTTCAAAAACCTACTATTAAGTTCTACTGCTTATGCTAGTATTAATCCTATTAGAAGATATGAGTGGTTTTTTTTTTTTTTTTTGTGTTTATCTTACAGCGAAGTTAACTAAATACTAGTTAATATTCTTTAGATATATGATCTGACTAGACTGTCTTCTATGACTAAGCGCTGGTAGGTACATATTATGTCTAACTGCGGTATTTATATTGTATATACAGAGTGTTAATAGGATTCCCATTGATTTACGTGTCGTTTGGGTAATCAATTGGCAATGGAGCTATTTTTTTAAGATTGCGTTTGTATTCACCGTGAATTGTCTTTACTGTGACGACGCGAACGATGCCATCGTCTCCTGGATGAGTAGCAACTATGCGTCCCATGGGCCAGTGAAGTGGAGGCGTGTTATCTTCCTTCAAGATGACCAGCATGCCTTCTTTTATGTTGGTAGTGGTTTCGTGATGCCATTTTTTCCTCACTGTCACTTCATTGAGATACTCCTTATACCACCTGCCCCAAAAGTGTTGTCTGATTTGTTGTATATGTTGCCATGAGGATAATCGACCTGCTTTCAAAACGGTAAGATCGCACTCGGGGGTGCTTGTTAATGAGTCACCTATTAAGAAATGACCAGGCGTTAACGGAGTAAGGTCGTTAGGATCTGTGGATAATGGGGTTAAAGGTCGTGAGTTTAGGATTGCCTCTATTTCTATCAAGCACGTAGATAACTCTTCATACGTGAATAGTGTGTTTCCCATAATGCGAAGAAGATGGTGTTTGCATGATTTTACCGCAGCTTCCCATAGTCCACCAAAGTTTGGTGCGCGAGGAGGAATAAAGTGCCATCGAATGCTGTTGTTCACAAGATACCTGTGTATTTGAGTATTTTTCTCAACGGTTAGTAGAGTGTGAATTTTTTCTAATTCGCGATTTGCTCCCGTGAATGTCGTTGCGTTATCGCTGTATATATTGCTACACTTCCCGCGTCGTGCAAAAAACCTTTTTAGTGCTGCGAGAAAAGCTTCAGATGTCAGATCACTTACAAGTTCTATGTGTACAGCCTTAGTGCTGAAGCAAACGAAAATGGCTGCATAGGTTTTGATTTTCTTAGTATTGCGGTGTTTCTTTTCTTTTATATAAAATGGCCCACAATAATCAACGCCGGTCGTTATAAATGGTCGAGTGAATGTCACTCTGTGTTTTGGAAGCTGACCTATGGGATACTGTGGCGTTGCGGGTGCCATTTTATGGCAAGTTATACATTTTCTAATAATGGATTTTACCGCGACTTTGCCGTTGATTGGCCAAAATAATTGTCTTATCGCGTTTAGTGTGCTCTGCGTTCCACTATGCCCGTGTCTAATGTGTGCGTCTTGAATAATTAAGTTTGTGATATGGTGTTGTTGCGGTAGGATTGCGGGGTGTTTTACTTCGTATGGTAACGCTGCATATGATAATCTACCACCGACTCTAAGAACTCCGTGACTGTCTAGAAATGGACCTAATGGTGATAACTTGTTTTTTCTACGAACCGGTGACGATGTTTTCAATTCTCGTAGTTCCTCGGGAAATGCAACTTTCTGTACGAGTGCTATTATCCGAACAGTAGCTTTTGTTAGTTCGTCCGTAGTGAGATGGCCAGTGTTTTTCTCTTGGTGCCGAGTATTGTTTACGAATCTGAAGCAATACGCGACAACCCGTTTGAGGACCGTGAATGACGAGAATTTATCAAGCAACTGAAACTCTGTAGCTATTGTGTTTTTTAAAACTACTAGTTTGCGCTTTTCAGGAATCTCTATTGGCTGTATTTCAATATACGGCCAAATGTCTTCTGACTGAGATAACCAATGTGGGCCGTGGTACCAACTGGGATGAGTCTTAAGTTCAGCGGGGTTTAGTCCTCGTGATAACACGTCTGCGGCATTGTGTTCTGATGGTACATGTCGCCATTGGGTGTACGTACTGTTTTGCTGGATTTCAGTTACCCGATTAGCAATGAAAGGTTTAAGTGTGTGTGGGGCTGTATTAATCCAATGAAGAACTATCGTAGAGTCTGACCAGAACGTGATTTTTTGGAAAGTGATATTAATAGATCTTACGACTATATTATACAATTTAATTAATAATACAGCAGCACACAATTCTAATCTTGGTAACGTTTGTGTTTTTAATGGAGCTACCCGAGATTTGGAGCAAAGTAAATGTGTACTATGATGATGTGAAGAGTCTGTACTGCGGATATATATACAAGCTCCGTAGGCTCGTTCACTAGCATCGCAAAAGCCATGTAATTGCAACGTTGTACGTTTATCCGCTATCACGCGTCTAGGAATATGAATATGCTGAATTTCCTTTAATTGTGCCTGAAAGGCCAACCATGTTGTGTGAATGCCGAGCGGTACGGCTTCGTCCCAATCTATTTGGGATTTCCATAAGTCCTGCATTATTAACTTAGCTTGTACGATTATTGGACCTAATAAACCAAGCGGGTCAAATAGTTGTGCGATTTTAGAAAGGACCGTCCTTTTTGTTACCTTTCCGGGTGGTATTATTTGTTTCAACGAATAACCTAGTGTGTCCATTGTAGGCTTCCAATATAAACCTAAGGTTTTCTTTGAATCCACAGTATCTAAAGCTATATGGTCGGTGTTGTTCGGATTCTTAAGTGAGTTTATTAGCCGCGGTTCGTTGGAGACCCATTGTCGAAGTTCGAATCCTCCTTTCGCGGTCAAGTCGATGAGTTCGTCCCGTAATTTGATGGCCTTTTCTATAGATTCCTCACCGGTGAGCAAATCGTCAACATAAAAGTCTTTACAAATGCTTTGCGCTCCTACTGAATAATTATGACCTTCGTCGTGAGCTAATTGTTGTAAGGTACGAATCGCGAGGTATGGTGCCGATGCGGTGCCGTATGTAACTGTGTTTAATTGGTAGACTTGAATAGGATCATTTGTGTTTTCACGCCAAAGAATTTTGTGATATTTTCGGTCATCAGGGTGTAATTCGATTTGTCGGTACATTTTTGTGATGTCTGCGGTTAATACGTATTTATGTATTCTAAATCGCATTATAATGGAAAACAACTCATCTTGGATAGTGGGACCGACCATGAGTGTATTGTTTAAAGATATGCCTGAAGATGAACGCGCAGATGCGTCAAATACGACCCGGATTTTTGTGGTAATGCTGTCCATTTTAATCACTGGATGATGCGGGAGATAACAGCCACCACTGCGGTTGTCTGAAACTTGTGTCATATGACCTAATCTTCTGTACTCTTGTAAAAATTCGTGATATTGCCGTTGTTGGCTAGTGGATTTACTTAAAGACCGTTCCAATGAAAGAAAGCGTTTTAATGCCATTTGATACGTATCACCTAATTTGTGATGTGTGTCTTTAAATGGAAGTTTGACTATATATCGGCCAGTTGAACTACGTGTGGTGTGTGCGACGTAATGCTGTTCACACGCGCGTTCCTCTGGAGAAAGAATTCTCGTTGAGGGGTACTCTTCAATATTCCAAAACTTCTGAATATCGTCGTTTAATGATCTCAACGTGAGGTTGCAAATTGTATCGCGAGATTGTCCCTTTCCAATGATTTCCCCTGTTACTATCCATCCTAATTCGGTTTTGCGGAGTTTTAGTTTTTCATCAGCTAAAAGTATTTTACCGGCATGTATAAGATCCCAAAATATTTGAGCTCCAATGAGTCCATCGATTTCTGCACATTGATCAAACCTGGGATCTGCTAATCGGATACCAGCTGGGATTTGAATCTTATTACGATCTAAGGATTCTGAAGGTACTGGCTGCGATATTTCTTTTACAATTAGAAACGTTAATTTGGCCTCGTAATGACTATGACGCGATTTTATAGTTGCATTTGTAGCACGATCAATTTGAGATTTCATTTGATTCGTGCCACTCAGAGGAATTGAAATTCTATGTGATTTTATTCCTAGACGATTACACATTCGCTCACTGAGAAAGTGAGCTTGAGAACAGGAATCTAATAGCATCCGACACGAGTGCGCTTTTCCGTGGTTGTCTAGAATATCGACCATTGCGGTAGACAAAATAATATTTGGCATAGTCATAGTAGCGAGACATGTAAAATTCGTCTGAAGCGGATGGACAGAGTTATTAGCCTCAATGTGGAGCAATGAATGGTGCCGTTTATGACAGTGCTTACAGGTAGTTGCTTGACATTCGTTAGCGGAATGGTTCCGTCGTAGGCAATTGAAACAAAGGCGGTTTTCTTTGACGAACTTTGATCTTTCCGAAACAGACAGTGATGTGAATTTTTCACAATTTTGTGAAAAGTGTAATCCCTTACAGAAATTGCATGTTATACGAGATTGCGTTACAAACGATTGTTGTGTATTTGAACGCAGTTCGCGACCTGGCATTCGTTTGTTAATAAACGGCGAGTTTCTGCTACGCGTGTTGTATGCCGGAGATGTGACTTTAACTGATGTGTTATACGCGGATCCTACCGGTTCAAGAACTTTGCATCGATCGCTCAAAAAATCAAATAATTCTTCAACTGTTGGGAACTTTGTGGTTTGCGTATGTTCTTTCCATTTAAGTCTAGTTTCACTGTCGAGTTTAGATGTGAACAAATATACAAGAATGGTATCGATAGTCGGCTGTTTGAGCGCTTGTAATGCACGATAGTGTGTTTGTATTCCGTTTAAAAGAGTTCGAAGATCTTGATATGATGGTCGCTGTGTTTGCGGCATATCAAACAAGAATTTTAGACGATTGGCGACGATTATTTGGGGTTCATTGTATCGCTTTTCTAAAATTTCCCATGCAACTGTGTAATTGATTGCTGCATTGCCTAAAGATTCGATTGCTTCAGCAGCTTCGTTTTTTAAACAAGATCGAAGGTACATTAGTTTTTTACCATCATCTATACGTGGCTTGTCATGTACCGTAGAACGAAATTGATCTGCAAATCCTGGCCAATCTTCGTATGACCCAGCAAAGGTTGGTAAATTGATTTTTGGAAGCGTAACTTCACTTTCAAAGGATTCTGTATGTGACTGCGGTGTATCTTGTGTATTCCGCGAATCGATAGCTACTGTGCCTCTAGGGTGGGAAGTCATGGCATTGTCTATAATGTCTAACGCGTGAGCTTTACATGTATTGTATGTTGTTTTTAGACCTATCCGCTCCCGTAATAAATGACCATCTTCTAAACCATCTAATTCTGCTTGAGATTTATTAAACGCTGAAAACTCGGACTCTAATTCTTCTAATTGCACGCGAATATTTGTGCTTGATGTACCTTCTTCAAAGTTATCTAGTAATAATTGAAATGACTCTACCTCCATTTTAAATGCTTCGCGTTTCAATTTCAATGTTTTTACACGCTCTTCGTGAGTGGGAGCCATATCGCACTGATAGAAATTAAGATGGGATTTGGAATAAAAGGAATCTAACGCGTTCGAAAGATGACTCAAAAACAAGAGTGCGCACTTACGTTTCGAAGCGAGATGTGACGATTGTTGGGATGATGCCTCTGGATGCTGAATGCTTGTGCACCCACGGCTGGAACTCGCGTCGATTTCTGCTTGGTTGCTGAGGTATCTCGTGTGGATGTAGCGCTCCTGACGATACTGAATCCACCGATATTTCTCCTTGTCTTGATGATGGATGTCACTCTTCCTGAGTGACCGACTCCGTCGGCGATGTTGAGATATACTGGATCACGTGTGATGTGTTGCTCCTCCGAAGGTGACACTCCTGATGTCACTGACCTCGGTGGCGTTGATCAGATCCACTGGACCAAATGTGATGTGTTGTTCTTCCGAAGGTGACACTCCTGATGTCACTGACTTCGTGGTAAATTCTCACAGGATGAGATTTCCGGACTGATGCTTCCTCCACAGCACAATATCCGGCTCGAAGGACCAATATGTTGCGACGCAAAGTGACGATCGGTTAAGAAGTCAACCGTTCGGATGTGTCGCGCTCTCAGAGTAAACTAATACTCGGAGCGGAGGATCGAAGAGATAACGAATATAGAATATTTGTGCTGTATTACTGAGTTTTTATTTTACCAGATGTAAAATATATCGTGTTATAATATTACAGTGATGTGAATGTCTTGTGAACGTGGTCTGAATGTGTTCTCACAAGTCTGTGTGAGTTATGTCTTTTTATATGGAATGCAGTGAGTATCGGAGAGGGTGTGTTTGAGTGTGATTGGTTGTAGCTGTTGGAGTGGGTGTGTCGAAATTTGGCGCGCTGGTAGAAAGAGACAGAGTGTCATTTTTCTTCCTTTTCTCAGGGTGTCCTGGGATTCCTGGAAATTAGCTGTTGAGGCCGATATAATTATGTTATTTGCAGGTGACAAACACGTGGTGAGCAGCTGTCCCAAAAATCCCAGGTTATGACCGATGACCGCTAATAAAGTTAGAGTTATAATGGGCCCGCGTGCCTCGATCGCTGTATTGTTCTGATCGGGGGCACTGGTCATAAATGCGCCTCCGGTTTCTTAAGCCTAAATTGCTTTTTACACTTTTAACGCTCAACAGGGGTCTTGTTCGAACCGTCGTCGAAGTAAGACGTATTTACGAGTTCGTGCTCTCCAGTATTTACCTAAGCGGCGTGCAGTGTCGTTATATTTTGTGTGCCAATAATAAGTGAGTTAATAAGTTCTGTTGTTTCCGGTGCCACAAAAAACACCTCACGCGGTGCACGAGTGCGAAGGAGCCTCTGACTACAGGAGTTCTCGAACCTCGCGTTCTCCAAAAAACATAAATCATGGATCCAACAACACAGAAACCCTCTCCGACTGTCTCTTATGTTCAGATAGCTCAAAAAGTTCAATATCCAACGAAAGAACAAGCATTAATTCTTGATGCTGTTGAAGGAATTACGGTTCAGGAATACGCACTAGCAATCGGAAAAATAATTGAACCCATTCATATTAGGTTTGTCTCGCGGATCTCCCAAGGCCGAGTCTGCTTATATCTGAGCAGCAAGGAAATAGCTGACAAGTTAATTGACAATCACACCAAAGTAAACATCGAAGCCCACGTCTTGGAAATCAGGCCACTGATATCAAAAACAAATCGAATAATCCTATCTAACGTGTGTCCAATAATACCACATGAGATTACAGTTCAACATACAGAGACAAAGGTTACAGTGTTGTGTTCGAAAAACACGTCGCGACGGTGGTAGACAGCAACCACAAAACTGTTCTACGGGCACCTCGCGTAAACGGTCTTTACATGGTAAACGAATCAACACCTCAGTGTTGTACGGCCACGCAACCAGCCCGATTCACCGAACGTCCGTGACGTCAGCTGAGTTATGGCATCGGAAGATGGGACATTTAAACTTTAAAGATCTCGAAAAGTGTGCTAGAGACGGTAAGGTACTCGGAATAGACATTAAAAGATGAGATAATTTAAAGTGCGGATTTATATGGACCGTTTATTTTGAAAGTGGTGCAAGTCCATTTTCTTTTGTTTCGAGAAAATTAAATGTTAGCAGATCTGACAATTAAAAAATATAGGTTAATTATGTGAAGTCTGGGAATGTTTGTACTAATTTATCAATATGTAATTTGATTATATAAATTTCTTTTAGGCGAATTTAACTAAAATAATATATATTTCCAAGCTGCAAATGGACTTACACCACTTTCATAATTAGTCAATTGTAAATATCATTTAATTTCAATTTTGAAACAAATATCACTTAAAATATATTTCATATTAATCCAATTTTGTTTATAAATAATAACAAGAAATAAAAGATACGAATGTCCGGAGAGTAAAAATTTATAATCAATTACCTCAATGTTATTTTCCAAAGACTGGACAAACCTCAACCACATCTACGCCATTTGTAAATTTCGATTTTGCCCAGTACACATATCATTATATGCAATAACATGACTTTGAGTCGTTACATTTTCTAAATGTCTCAAACAGCAAGAAGCTATTTCCTGCGATCCCCTAGAAGCAGTAGTTTCGTCCCACACGTATATATTAACTTTATTGTCGTGGAAATTGTGAAATCCCTCGTTTAAAACATACATATTTCGCTTATAATATGCGATTGAAACAGATAATTTTGGATAGGCTTTTTGTAAATCAAAAGAAAAGGCAAAGTATTTATCGGGATTTTTTGATGCCAGAATTTTATCTTCTTGTAGTGCTTTTCTTGCTAATTCAGCATTTTTCAAGTGAACATCATGGCTTTGTACAAGTATCGTTTTTTCTTCGTCATCCGTTGTTGTCTGAATTTTCATGTCCAAGAAATCGCATCTTGCGCAGGTATCTTTACGCGGCAAGTGGAAATGTAACTTGAAATCTCGTTTAAAGATTTTCCTGTACGTCCATTCATTAACTGAACTCAAGTTATTTTCCTTAAATTTTTCTAAGTACAAAATGAACATTTTTCTTATGTTTAATTCAGGATTCAAGAACATCCGTTCTGGATTTTGGGATCGAGTATAATGACTTTCAAATGCCGGAAAACTTTTTATGTGTTCTATCACTGTATTTGTCATTAGTTCATTAGTTCTTTTGCAAGAGCCATCCATTTGTCCACGCATGTCTTTCGGAATATTATCATGCGCTTTTAAGACACAATCAATTCGTCCAGTAGATATGTTGAAAGTATTAATGAAAAACTACTTACATACTAAAATGTTTCCGCGAGAAGTGGCCAGGTGAAATTGATAAGCATAAGCCCTCAAAGTGCCCGAATGATTTCTTGGCCTTCTTCTATTTACAGTTTTACGTTGAACACTACAGTGGAGAAATATGTTTTGCTTATTAAAATCACCTATATTCCAGAATTTAACAAAAATTGCTCTACGTTCTGATTCATTAACACGTTCTATGCATTTCTTCGAGCAGTTACAGTTTTTGGATTCAAATTTTTTTGCTGGAATGAATTTTCCTTTTTTGTATAGTACTCTTGTCCGGCATTTCGCTTAATTTTGTTTATTCGTTGCGTATATTTTCCTTTATTTTCTTTTGCAGAATCCAAGTTCTCAGTAACAATATCCTCATCTGATGAAGATTCTATCTCTATAATTCTTCTTCTCTTTTTACGTTTCATTAATTTGTTTTTCAAAGTGGAATTATCTTCATCCTCCGATTCTAAGATTATTCTTTTCATTAAATTCATGGGTCTTATTTTTGTGTAAATTTATTTAAAATAAAATAAAATAAATATTTTCAATTGTCATAAAATAACATTGATTTACTATTTCTTCTTACCTATATCACTATCTGATGTGAATATGAAATTATCCATTGTTGGAGGAAAATAAAATAAGTAACTGTAACCGTACATTTACATATACCCCAAGGTATGAGAGGGGTAGGGTAGGCGCGAGTAAGGGGAAGACTCCCCACTAATATCGATACGCGGCGATACGTAAGATACGGGCGATGAGACATGAGCAGCATAGGTACCACGTGATAACGGAGGATGCGTGCGCACCATGCCCCCACTAAATCACGATCGAAGGAGGTCGATACGCGGCTGTCGATCTTTACTCTACGTCTGGACGCGATCCAGTTAAGGTGTTCCTTCTGTAGTGGAGTCCGTTAGGCGAGTTACGAAGACGTGAATAGTAACCGGCTCGTGTGTCTTTTCCACGTATGCGTCTCAAGCAGCAGAGTCCGTGTAGCAACCATTTTTTTTTTGTTTCGCAGGGGAAATGCTTTATGCACACCTCGGAGTCCTGGGGTGGGACTCCGAGGTAGTGTGGGACTCTCACCCACTAAAACCCCCGCGGCAGCCTTCTCGGGCGGAATTCGGCGGTGGCGGGATCTCGTATGAACGCACCGCCACCGCCGCGCCTGTGCTCCCCTTATCGGAGAGCCCGTTCTGTGGGGGTGATCGAACGCCCCCCAGAGGTGACCGATAC